GTTTGAGTTTCACTAATTGATGTTTTAATCAAGCAACCTGAAGGAAGGACATCAATGTCCAGAGCTTCTATTAGGAGCTGATTACCGTACAGGAAATAAATGAAGGTTCTGCAGATGTGTTCGACTGAACAGGCTCATTCTGATTATCATTTTAATTATTTATTCCTTTCAATGATTTTATGAACATAACCTAGTTATATTCTTACATGCTGAACCGACTGACTAGACCACCATCAGAGATGTTTGAATCCATTATGTTTGTGTGAGGAGGAGTTCCGCCTGGTCTAGTTCTAGGCCATCAGCTGTTCCGCTCTCATTCTCACGGAGAACCGGTGGTTTCAGATCAGCTGTGCAGCCTGGCGGCTCGTATCCTCCTGCTGAGTCATGGTTAGCGTTCATGTGACGTGCAGAGATGGAGCGAGTCCTTCAGAGCTCCTGTCTCTTTTCAAACAGCAGCTGCTTCTTTGTGTCGTTTCTCCAAAGAAAAGGATTTAAATTCATCAAGCTGCTTTGTCCTGGATGCAACCACTAACGTTTACCCTCCACCCTCCACTCTGTCTGCATCCATCATGCATCTCCATCCTTTTCAAGATTCATTTAAACAATCGATCCAGTTTAGTTTTCTGCTTTTATCATTCTTCTTTCACTAACTTCAAAGAGAGCCTGTCTCTAAAGGAGGGCGGGTCCAGGAAGGGGGGGGGCAGCCGTACTCTTCTGTTGGAGGTATGATGAAAACCTGATTTCAGAGCAGAGTTTTTATCCGGCTGCTTGTTTTACTTACAGAATTATATTTGTAGTCTGGATGCAGTCAGACATTTTCAGCTCCATCTCTGCCGTCTTTCATGGCGCCGCTCTGCCCTGATGTGATGCTGCTGGATTTTCCTTCCTGGTGCATTTTGCTGTAGCGTGCAATCACTTTTATATGGAGTGAATGTTCTTCTATTATTGTTGCAAAGAAATTTTAAAATGGCAAAATTGCTTTTATAAAAAAAAAAATCATTTCTGGATTCTGTTTTCTACAAATTACCTTTTAGGCCACATGTTTTTCAATTGCTACAGGAATTGAACCGTATTCACTCCAGAGTCAATGACTTTATGCAAGTAGCTTGTTTTACATAAGGCTGACACAATGAATCGGATTAATTGGGATTAATCGAT